AGTATATAGAGGTAGATTACATTGTATAAATCTCAAAAAACTAATGCAGTCAGTGAATACTTATTTAATATTAGAACTGTCAGTTGTCAGGACCGTGTATGTGTGCCAGATTTACTTTTCTTTCTGGATTTGATCCAAAGAAGGCGGCTTTCAATCAGGAGGTTTAGAAACCGTGTCTGCGCCAAGAAAGGTGATAAATGACTAGCTCACCAATTTTTATCTTTACTAGAAATTGTTTCACGCTATAAGGGACAAAATGAACCTTGGGATGTTATCCTTTTTGAAATTGAGGTTGCAATTTAATTTGTATCCCAGCCGTCTGAAGGCCTTCTATCTTCTGAATATATTTTATATTTTGTGTGCCGTTTTACTAATTTTGATTAGCAATGTATTTTGCACATAACTCTGATGAGCCCTTTCCCTAGTATAGACCCCTATGATTACTATACAGTATAAAAAATTACACCAGAACCATTTTTAAGGATTTACCTAATCACTAACCTCTGTGAGACCGCTGCCTTCTAGTGCTTTCTAATGTCTATGTAGCCCTTAATACGGTACAGACGTAGAGATCTGTCTTTTAATGTAGATTTAGGACAGACAGTAATATTAAACATTTCAAGTTATATAGCTACTGTCTTTTTTGTGACTACCTTCTCTTTAAATACAGTTTTGATGTAAAATATAAGTATCCCTTTTCGAGGTGGAGGCAGCTTGAGAGCTAGCTAGCTAGCTAGATGGTTAGATAGATATTGGCCTCAAATTGCAATTTTAGACCATTAGATGAAAAGGTTGTGACAAAACATTATGAAAAACCTCCCCTTGGTATAGGAAGTGGTATCCTTAGCACGCAAAATAGAATTGTTTCCATGAATAATTAACGCAAAGTAAATACTGAATTTCTTTTAGACTCTTTCCTCCAAAACACGCTATTCCAAACCATGTGAAATAATAAACAGTTATTGTAAGAAGCAAGCTTGGTTTTTTTTAAATATTGTCCTATGACCAAGACCATCAGTAAACAATTTGTAACCAGAGGGCGCTTTAACTACTGCTGGGGTCTCTTTGATTTATTCATTTGAGTACTGGATGGGGGAAGGGAACAACAAGGAAAATATTTGATCAAATATGCTAAGCCTAATCTGACTGGTGTAAAATAGAATTTACTAAAAGGGCTTTCGGTATTCGTCCCGCTTTATTTTGAGGTGCCTTTTTAAGTATTGACGCCTATCCGCGGAAGTGAAAAAAGATCAACATTCTTGAACTTTTAATGTAATATATTTTCTTAATACATAGATTCTGATAATGATCTAAAATATACTTCATAATGATTGCATGTGGGTTTTTAACAATTCACTCCACATTTCTCTAAACATGTTTTAAATGATCTTTTCGTGCAAAATATTGCATACCAGTTTCATTAGTCTCTTTTGACGATGGCATAGTATTACAATCAGGAAGCAAAGTTTAAATTAACTGTATTTGAATCTGATATTTAAAAGCAAAGTACTCAGACTATAGGACCCTGTGTATTAAAATATGCGGCTAAACTAGTGAATTCACAGAACCACACATTTTTCAAATGCAGACTTTATAATGAAGCGTGGAACTGAAGAAACAGGAGGAATAACCAGAAGTACAGTAGCTGCTAAATTACACGTTGAAGATACGTTAGCAACTACATCCCAACTCACGCCTTAGAAAATGGGTATATTTGACCTATATCCGTCTGCAACAGTGTTCTATCTGCGATAGATAGATAATGAATATTTTAAAGTTAGTCTTATTCAAACACTCACTTAATACGCAATCAAATATTTTATTCCTTGTGCAAGTGACTTTAACTATACGTTTACCAACATCTATTTCCAGCTGCAACAAAAAGAAAAGAGTAAAGTTTGCCTCAGAATAGTGACGTTTTTAAACAAATATTGTCCTAGCCATTCCATTAAAATTTTGACCAATAAGCAAACTACGGTTCAAGTCCAATAAGAACATCAAAATTACCTGTCATTTTCAGTGTATGTTATCATAGCTCTATTTGACTGAAGACCCTTAGCGTTCTACACATAAATGTCAAGTTTGATCATATTTCCAGTGCAACGATTTGTATAATTGGAAGAAATCTACAGTATTCTTCTGAAAAAAAAAATCCCCATAACGTGGATTTTTCCATACTGTTAGCCAAAACTTTATTAAGTAAAAGAAAAATAGTCAACTAAAATTTAAGAAGTCTCTTAAATATTCTTTCATGTATTAAGTTTAATAACCAACTTTTTGGAATAGTTCCCCTCTCTATAGTTCTCCTCCAAAATGCTTAACTGAAACAAAACAAATAAAGCTCATGCAAACTTTCCAAGAACTAGTTTGATAACAACCCATTCCATTTTAATTTCTGTACATATGGCAGATCTAAGCACTTACCTTCATGCTTTTTCTAAACCAAAGTCAATCGGGATTAAATTTTTCAGGAATGCCTTGCGAAATGTTTAACTTCATGTGTCAAGTAAGCAATCCACTGAAGCAACTTTTGCCAACCGTAGCATAGAAAGTGCAATAATTTAACGTGCTGCTGCTAGAATGTAAAGTGAACAAAGGCCAAGATTTTTTTCCCAGGGGTTCTCTTCTCCCGCTGCGGCTTTGACATTGATCTGAAGCACGCCATCTTGTGGCAATCGAGCACCTGAGGAACAGTGACTGACTAACGAATTCAGATTCACTATTCTAATAAAAGGATGCTAGAGAATGTGTCCAGACAAGTGTTATTCAGATCTAATTTCTATATCTAAGAAATTGCTGTAGACCCTCTGCTTAGTTTATAGCAGGGCATTCCATATATGCAAATGAACAAGTCATGGACACTTTTTATAATCACATTGTCACAGCAACACAGAGGATGTGTTTTTATTGGGTTAGGAAATCAAATCCCAACCAGAGAAACGCCATGGCTCAACTACCTCCAGGAGTAGCCATGAATACCAGTTAATTTTTAACTAGGAAAGGAAGCTTCTTGCTAAACACTCACTGCCATTCATTTATTTCTCTCTCTCTCTCTCTCTCTCTGTATCTTTCCGTCCATCTCTTTTAAAACTTGCATACCATTGTGGCATTCTAGACAAACAAACAAACAAACAAACAAACAAACTACTTTTCTCATTTTTTAAAACATTTCCTTTGACGAGACGTTGTCTGACTGGGTGGGGGTTGTCAACCACAGGTCCAGAGCCATTTAGCCCTTCACCTCAAGGTTATGGGTGATGTCCAATGCAATACAGAAGTTCAAAGCCAGTAAACAATTCAAAAACAGTATGCACTTTCTTTTCCTGATTAAGATTAGGACAAGAATTAGAGATTAAAATGCCATTCTCCATACCACAGTCTCATCTAGACATTGTTTTCCCAACTTTTGTTTTCCCCCCTTCGAGATCAAGGACAATTTCATACAGCCCAGCTCCACCACTCTCACACATGGAAGACTTTTCGAAGAAAACAATGTTCTCACTCCTTTACACACACGTCAGCTCATTTTAAAATTCGCTTTAGGGTTATGGTGATAAAATATTCCCAAACATTACTGATACTAAAAATAATTTTAAAATGGTTAGTCCAGACATGTGTGGTCTGAAATAAACAATATATTTTTAATTCCTAGAACATAACAAGTTATCGTCTTGTGTGTATTTTACAGCTGAGAACAAAGGCGTGATATTTACACTGAATTACTAAAAGCATTATTTTTTCTCTTTTTAATCCGTTGAAATTTAGATTTAAATGAACTTTGGTCTGCATGTTTATTCACCAGTGTGAACACTGTGCTTTGGCTGATAGTGAAGGATTAGAAAAAATAGGCGAGTAACTTGCACAGTAGATTTTGATTGTAAAATTTAGATTAGATAAAACCATACACAGTAATGTAACACCAGAATAAAAATATAAATTTTCCATTTTTTTATTTCCTTGTGCGCTGTTCCATTGTATACATGCAACCAAATACTTTCGCGTATTAAAAGAAAACTGTATATACATATAGATGATAGATATTGAAAACAGTGATGTAATACAAAGATATTGCATTTTGTGAACTGTGTAAAAAGAAATTACATCCATTTGGTAAACTGATTGTTCAAAAATAATTATCACCAATTTGTTGCTCATGTAGAGAAAAAAAGGCACCCTCTCACCCCAAAGGAAAAACATATGTAAAAAATGTATTAAAACAAAATAGGTAATGTTTTTTTATTTACAAGTCTTGTAAAACACTGTTCCTGTATGAAATATACATTCACGTACTCTCAACAGCAAATTACCTTAACGATAGAATATCGTATCCTTTGTAAACTGATATAGAATTTTAAATATTTTTTTAAATTGCATTTTTCTCGCTTTGGTTCCTGCAGGACAATATATATATTTATATATATATATATATATATGTATATGTTTAAAATAACTCCAAACAACTATCCATTCTTTGTATATGTCGCCTGAGGGACGAAGTAGAGCTCATGACATTTAAAGTAGACAACAACATATGAAAACAAAATTACCATATTTACATTGTTCGGCTTCTGAATAAATTCCTTACAAGCAACCTTCTAAAGAAATAGAAGATTAAATTAGTTTGGTGATTCAAATGTTAGTGCATTGTACAAATCCAAGTTACATTTAAGTGTTGTGTGGTATTAACCAAACTCTCGTTCTCCACAGGTATTTCCTGAAGAAAGTTTGTGAGCCAGAAGCCAGAAGGTTAGTTTTCTATTTATTTTTTTCTTTTAAAACTTTGGAATTCATTTTGCAATCTTTTAAACGTTTAAATATGGGATCATGATTAGTTGTTAAAAGGATGGCAAGGTATAGACAGTTGTTATAAATAAATCGAGAGCTAATATGACAACTGCTCAACATTTTATTTTCAGTGATTGTTTCTTTACGATATATGGCAAATTTATGCCTGACATATTTTTAAAGTAAATAATCAAGTCTTTCATATCATTCCCCCCCCCAATAAAACACGATTATATCCATCACTTCGTCTGTACTATAACTTTCTTGATTGACCTTGTAAAGGAATATGTATTTATTTTTATTTAAATCAATTAGTCATGGAGCTCTGCTCTAACAGAGACATTCTCTTCCGAAGGAAAAAAATATTATTTTGCGAAGCTTTGTTTTGCAGTGGTCCTCAGCACGTAAACTCGACCTGTAATTTCCACACACACATTCCACAGTAAAACAGGGGAACAAGATCAACAATAGTTAAACAGTGAATAGGCAAAGGTTCACTTCCCACTTTTAATTACTGAAACCAGAACAGAACGAGCGGAAGTGTCTGTAAAGGTAAGAGGTATGAATTTTGCACTCAGAACAAAGATTGTGGCTGGCCTGTTGGCCCTAGATGCCATGTGGGTCAGCATCAAATCAATTCCAGTTGATACGTAAATATCAAAAATTAAAAAATTAAAAGTCCAGAGTTGATTTACATGTATGTAAAATCATAGGTCTCATAGTCCCGTCAGTTACACACCTCCTTCTTAAATGTAACCCTGTGGCTTGACCTTGTCAAGGGCGAAATCTGAATTTAATCTCATTTTGAAAAACGCTATGAGTTTTAAAGTAGTGGATTAGCTGAGTAATATTGTAATCGGTCCCTGTTAATTTTTTTTTCTTTCATTCTTCTGTTTTGAAACCATATTTTTACTTGACGGTCGGTCAAATTGAGCATTCGGGAAAGCTGGAGGCGTTTCTCTTTGTTTATATAGACACTGAAGAAGAATTCTCTTTCTAATTCTCTAATCTGATATTTGGTGTATGGACATCTCTTTTTACGGGTCCGTTGTCCACCTGTGGAATGAAAAAAGGCAGAAGTGTTTGAAACTTGGTACTGGGAAAAGCTCAGTCAAGGGGCAAATCTGTAAAGTGTTTTGCCTACTCCATGGGTATAACGGTTAGGTCCTATTCTACAGGCTAGCTCTTAACCTTATCGAGCTTTCTATGGGGAAAGGGTACAGAAAACGCAGAGCCCACATTTCTTCATGTGAAAAAGCAATGATGGCAAACAACGTGTCACTTCGGCAAGGTGGACAGGCATAATACAGAACAAGAATTAGAGTACCTGCCTCATTGTTTGTACCTGCACTTTTCAGAAGCTATATGCGATGCTTGGTACCGTGGTGTAACAGACTAAACAAACAGCTGCACATAGACATTTCTGTTTTAATCACCTGGTTCACTTCAGCTGACATTATGTTATCAGGGTTAGTAAACACATTTCCAACCCCAATCTTTCTCCAGACCATTACAATTGATTTTTATTCTGTCTACAGATACTGGCTTTACATTTCCATGAATGTGTTTGCCCCCCCCCTCACCTTTCTTTTTAATCAGTGGAAATGGCACTGCGTCTAAGGCTGCTATTAAATCATTGCATTCTGATTGACTCCGCTGGTTTTTAAAATGCAGGTATATAGTTATAATAGCAATGTCGTCTCTCAATTTGCCACAATAGGCTTAAAGTTCACTACGCAGAGTAGTTCTGTTTGGAAGGTTTTCAAGGTTCAAAAGCTCTTTACATTAAATATTAGTCTTATCACTTTTTTAAAAAAAAACTTCCTTTTCTGGTACAGGCCACTGTAGAGGTATTTTTCAAAGTTGTTTACTTGCTTTGCCTTTTAAAAAACACATATAAAAATCAGACTTTGACAGATTGAATAACAATTGTAAGTAACAGACTGTTGGACAGAAGGCAACACGTAATTGCCATAATGCCTAAGTAAAATGGCTTCCTTTAGACAAAAAGGCCAGCTTTGGGTTAATTTGTTTCTTTTAATATATTGCTACAGTTCAGGCGGCTACTTTATCTGCTAAACACTATGCTAGTGCAATCGTTAAAATGGTGATGGCTTTGAATTCAGCCCCTAACTAGACTTCTGGTGCAACACATGGCTTTTATAAAATCACTGGATTACCTTGATATCAAAGGAGTCAGGATCCCTTTTTGGTGACTTTACAGGCACAAACGAACGTTATTATATTTTCGAGAGTTTGACCACAGAGCCCTTTTTTATTATTATTTAAAAAAAAAAAAAAAAGGAAGGAGAACGATTTTTTTTAAAGGCATCCATTGGCCGGTGGGTATTTCACGGCCAATTTCAGCACTAAACACGTGATCTTGCCTTTTATAACAAAGTTTTGTTGGGGGAAATCTAAAGGCCCTTCATAAACCTTATATGCTTATAAAACAGCATATAAAAATTTAACAGCGGTGGTGCGCTAGATTTCAAACTCCCTTTCATAAAGCGCTTGGGCGCTGCCTTTATACGTACTGGAGCTGCTGGATTTCTCCTCATTGTTGCCGGAAGATGACTCCGGGCTGCTGCTGCTCTCTGTCCTCCTCCGCCTCTCCTTCTCCTCTGCTGCTGCTGCCGCCTCTCTGCTGCAGCCGCCTTCCGAACTTGAAGTTGCAGTAGCTGTCGGAGGCATTTTCTCGCCATTCTTGTCTCCCGAATAGTCCGCTGAGGACAGGTTTTCCGTGGTGCCATACGCCGTCTCGAAAAACTGGTCGAAAGCCTGGGGCAGGACCCCGTTCCTCCCCACCGTGCTATAGAAATTGGACGAGACGTTGGTGGTGGGGTGGTAGACGTTTGCTGTGTTTTTGCCGAACATCTCGCCCATGCTAGCCGTGTTGGTGGCAGGCAGGCAGTCTCTGTGCATGATCTCCTCTGCTGAGTAGCAGTGGGGTAGATTGTTCCTGGGGTGCCATTTACTGGAGGGGTCAATGGCATACTCCCTGAAGGTAACTTCTCTCACAGGTTGGACCTGGGGTAGGTTGGAAGAGTAGGAGTATGTCATAGGGCGAGAAGACGGGGTCTGGGGCAAAAAAGAAGGGAGGCTGGAGAAATCAGGACCCGAGACGTAGTAAGTACAACTTGGCAAATACATGTTAGAGGAACAAGGAACACGCTCATCAAAATCCATCATTAGGCTACCTCGGGTTCTCCGCATTAGCTGAGCTTAACATGATTCTCTAATGCAGCTGCCTCTTTGAAGCAGATCCGTGAAGTAAGAAATTTGGAGACGTAAGCTGACGTGGAAATCTATCCCCATCCTTAGCAGGGAGGTGCTGGTCATGTGACCAAATGTTGAAATTGACAAGCTGCAAGTATGGGCCCTTTTTTCTTTGTAGCCATCTCAAGGGAAGCAACAGATCGTCACTTTGGTATTCTCACCAAAAGCACGTAATCTAAAATATAACTCATGCTTGCCTTGTGTACCCTTAGAGGACAAAAAGACGCATGACACTTTTTCCTACTTATCAGTTTGACCAATTGCACCAGGTCGCTGTGGAATAGAAAGAATTAGCAATTCCCACATGTTAGGTGAGATCTTTTTTATTTGTATACAGTATTTGCAAAAAAAATCAAGAGAAATTAAATGCTTGTTTTTTCCTGCGATCTGATTTCTAGCATTGAATGCTCCCAAAGCAATCGGTCGGTATTTTTTTGTTTGTGCAGAAGATAGTCGCCCTGCAGGGTTTTGCTTGGAAGAATGTGCCAGGGTCAAGTCTGTACTGATTTTCATGGTGAATAGATTACATGCTCGCATTCATGTTCACTTCCGAAGCGCTTAGTGTCTTCCTTTCCTTTTTAACATATTAACCACAAATACCCTGTCCGATTTTATCCAAGTTTTGCTAGAGATATTTAATAACATTTTATTCCCATCATGAAGGTTCTCTTTTTGCCTTTTCTCCAAAGCGTTGCTTTCTTTATTTGCAATGTTAGGAAGTCCTTTAAATTCCAGACCACTGCGTAAAGAGGGCATCTGATCTCTTTGCCTAAACAGTGCTGCTAAATACCTGGGAAACCAAAGGATGTTGGGCTATTCCGATTTCACAAATATTCTATGTTTAATTGCCAGAAGCCTTGTTAAAAATATTTTTATATCCTATTAACCCCTAGAAACAAACTTCCAGCACCCAGATACTTTTATTTTTTCTTCAGACCATCGCTGGACGTTGAGATCTAGATAGACCTATTTTAAAAACGTAGTGAAGCTTTTACTAGTGTTGCATGAAAGGGATGATGTGGAAAGCGGATTGTACAGGGCAGAGACTAAAAAGTATTTCTCTGCCAACAAAAATGCACATCCCATCGAATGATCTTTGCCAAAGAAAACAGAGAAATAAGCCAGCACCTTTTGAGGCATGAACAGCCTTAATCTGTTGAAAAAAAAAACCATTTTTCCTATCGATATCCGAAAAGAAATATTCAGGTTCTGGCTCATTTTAATCAAAACAGTAAAACAGAATTACACTAAGGCCACAAACGACTATTGTGAAGTTGGTGTAATTAAGAAATTGGACATATTTCACCATCTCTGTTCCTGTGGACCTGGGCGAGCAATGGAAGGAAAACTAAAAATATTAAAATAACAACATTTTGAATTTGTCTACGTCCACAATGTAGTGGAAGTATTTATATATCAGGGGAAAGTTCTATTGTAAATTTTGGAGATCTTCGGTATTTAAATGTCAACATCGATTTGTTTATTTATTGCTTAGCTTATCGTAACTGACTTAATAACAAATCTTATCATGTTTTGCACTGACTAAATATTCCCATTATGTATTTTCGCTAAATTATAGTTAACTATTACATTTGAATTCAAGCTGTAAATATCAACATTATCAAGTAATTACTTTGTAGTGGAGTAAACTAATTTATTAGCATTAATGTTTATATGCCTTTTTTATTTTACAAGGGTTACGAATCACAAATCAAATGCTCTGGACATATCCCTTTAATGAACTCTTTATTTTGGTGTGCTGCAAGAACTTTTATGCTCCCTCAGTGTTTGTGAGCTGAACTTGAAATTATTAATTAATCTTCAAGCTTGACATATTTGCCAGAAAGTGGATGGAAGTAAGAGATATGCATGTCATCAAAGTGCTACCTGAAGACTCCATTGTCGTTTGGGGATTGTAAAAATGTTTTTAAGCCGCAGAAGAACTCTGCAGCATCCATGCTTAGACTTCTTCCTTAATTCTACACTTTTGCCTTTATTTAGTTTCCCCTTTAGACTTTTTTTTTTTTTTAAAAAGACTCTTGCTCTCTGAGTACAGTTCATCTCCCTCCTCCCTCCCTTTCAATTCTTGATATTAAAATCTATTTCCCCCTTCCAGACAAAAGGAATGTATAAAGGATTTCAGCGACTTTGAGATAACAAAGGCGCCACCATTGCAGAGGTTCGCCCCGCCTCTGTGTGATGGCAAACAAATTCTTGCACTTGTATTAGGGCTTTTAAGGCTATAATTGAACACGGCGCGTCTAGGAGAACCGAAAACAGTTCTAGACTGACCTGCGGTTTTATAGCACTTTTGGCAGTCAACTTCAGCTTGTGTGAGAACAGACATGACAGAGCTGACCAACGGTTAATCGGGAGACACCACCTACTTGGAATCGCTGCAGTCCCCTCTTAATTAAATAAATCTCAAACCTGGGGGATAGAACGGGCTGCAGTTCTGAAAAAAGGTTTGTATGTGGCTATTTCCCGCTCCTATTTACATTCAATTTCTGTCGTACAGTTAAAGGCTCTGACTTGCTGTTTTCATGTATGCCTATTTGAAACAAAGGGAAATCATGATGGGATGAAGGCAAGAACGCAATTAATAATGCAAGTCCAGCTAGCATTATATTAAAGGACACTGCACAGCCTATGCGGAATATACATGCTTAGTTTTGATGGTTTGCTATGTATTTTCCCAGAGAAGTAGGGTACTTAGTCTGTTAGAACATGCTTTAACACAGGAGAAAACAAAATGCATCCTGACAAATGATTACATCTGTAGAACAATTAGAAACGATTATTGAAAAGATTTAAGGGTGCAGCTAGTGTAAGAATAAGCAGGCACCCAAGGCGGAGTTAGTTCTCTGCTTTATTTGCTGCTAAGTGAAACAGACATAATGTACGCTTAAAGCCCCGGAATGTCTGGGTAATTGCAGTAAGACTGCTTTTATGTTGCTGTTTTAAACACAATTATACTGTTTATTATTTTGTCTAATTTTGAATTGCTCTTTTAATACAGTCATTGGGACTTCTGCGTTTAGAAAGCAAATAACACCGTGCATTGCCCCTGCTAACCTCAGTGGGAACAGCAAAAACAAAAGAAGGCATTTCATTTTGAGAAGCAAAATGCATTCAGTCCTCTTTTACAACTATTTCGTCTGGCTGAGAAAGGGCAATGTGTATAATCATGTTATGTGCTTTGCAACTGCGCTGCATGACATTCTAGATACATTTTACAATGGGCGCAAATATCGCTAATAGGTGAATACACTTTATGAGCAGATTGGGCCATGTCTACCTATACAAAGCGAAGAAAAATTAATCCATACTTTGGAGCGATATATACAAAGCTAGGATGCCACGTCCAGAGTTTGTATATATCTGGTGTGCGGAAGGAACTTTTAAAAACAATATAGGGGATCTTTAAAAGGTCAAGTTCTATAATGTGTAAAATGTTGCCACTTTGTATTATGTTTGTGGGGGTTTTCATAAAAACAAATCGCACTATAATTTATATTAAATATTAGGGTGAATACCTGTGTTTCAGAGTAGAAGTGTATACTAAGTGTAATTTATATGTAAAACGAGTTAACTAAAATATTACACCTTTATTGATTTTTGAAAATTAGCATATTTTCAATAAGCATGCTTTTTGATAGAATTTTGATGTCTCCAAAATTATGAACTAATTAATTGTTACAGCATATGGGTATTGTATGCTTTTCTTTCTATATACATGCAGTTATTATAGTAGGGCAATATTAGGAAATATGCAACATATTTTGGCCAACGAAAACTTCATAACTTCTTTCTTTCTAATGAAAATTGCCTATAAGGTCGCAACACTTTGAAAAAAATTGTCTTAAATGTAATTGTTTAAATTTCCTGACGATTGTTTGGATTAAACATTATTTAAGACTTACTAGTTCTCTACTCAGCTATTTTTCTCTTTTCCTTTTTGACCACTATACTACTGAGCTATACGGTAATAACCAAAATATAGTTTTTCACCTAAACACATTTCTTTAACATTTTAAGAAAAAAAAATTGTAACAATGTTTTGATAATGGATTTCAAACACTAATACCTCTGCTATTACAGCTAGTAGGGATTTATCAAAAGAGCAAGATGCATTTCCAAAATTATGATATGGAATAGTCTCTTCATTATTCAAAACCAGGCGCTACCTAATTGTAGTCATATTATGGAGGTGCAAATTTATATATAAAGAGAAAGCAAATATAAATACAAAATTGAGTCACAGTTCAACTGAAGTCTTGGTATATTTAACGGCCTTAAATTAATTCTGATGAATAAGCTTTTTAAAACAATTTTACTTACCAAGTTGGAGATTGTACATCATTTTATTAGCATTGAAAATGTTGTATGTTAAAGTTACAATGTTTGGAAAAATGATTTTCCTTTATCGTGGTCTCTTTTAATACTTAAATAAGACTTATGACGATATGAATAAAGCTACACGATTTTAGCATTTAACAAGAATATCTGATATTCACTTAGAATGATGCTCGATATCTAATAGCTGTTACTGAAAGTAAGGCAACATTCCGATAACTGTAACAAATATAAACACAGAGGTGTTTCTCTTTTTAACAAGGAATTTATTCTGCTAAATAGAATAATCTCTTTCAAATGTTATTTTCCTGTTCTTTTTAACCAAAATATTAGATATTATTTATAACATACCACAAGCACCGTTTTAAGTGCTGAGTCTTTCTCTCATTATTCTGTTTCCGAAAACGTGTTTTTCTGGAAAGCGTCGAGACCCAGAGTATACATTTGCCTACAATGTCATGGTATTTTTGTGTACCATCTCTAAGAGAATCGAGGCAGGGTCAAAAATAAGGTGGACATAAGGAGGTGTTATATTGGACGTCTAGGTGTTTCTGAAATTGTTTGACTGTCGATGGTACCAT